CTATCTATCTATCTATCTATCTATCTATCTATCTATCTATCTATCTAATAAAATTGTATTTCTATAGCGCCACATCACAAAAACAGTTGTCATGTTATTTATTGTCATGTTTCAACAATTCCCACCATGAGCAAGCACTAGGCGACACAGGCAAGGAAAAACTTCCTTTTAACAGGCAGAAGCCTCGAGCAGAACCATCTGCCTCGGCCGGTTGGGGGTGAATCTATCTATCTATCTATCTATCTATCTATCTATCTATCTATCTATCTATCTATCTATCTATCTATCTATCTATCTATCTAATAAAATTTTATTTCTATAGCGCCACATCACAAAAACAGTTGTCATGTTATTTATTGTCATGTTTCAACAATTCCCACCATGAGCAAGCACTAGGCGACACAGGCAAGGAAAAACTTCAGAAACCTCGAGCAGAACCAAGGCTCAGGGTGGGCGGCCATCTTTCTTCTGCTACAGGGTTTGACTTGGTACAGCTTCTTCTGTGAATAAAAGCTTAAACTTTGTCGGTTTTCCCCTTTTAAATTGCAGCAAAGCACCATCGTGTGCCATAACCGGGTGGACCCCAACGGATCGCGCTACCTTCTGGGGGACATGGAGGGGCGGCTGTTCATGCTGCTGCTGGAGAAGGAGGAGCTGATGGACGGGACCGTGGCGCTCAAAGACCTCCACGTGGAGCTGCTGGGAGAGGTGCCCGTTTATCTTAATCTGTCTGTCAGGCTGTGTTTATCAGAGATGTTCAGTAACGAAGTAGAGCTACTTAAGTACTGTACTTAAGTACCAAAATGCAGTACTTGCTAACCTAGCTGGCTAGCTGTATGATAACGTTAGCTAAAGCTAACCTAGCTGGCTAGCTGTATTATAACGTTAGCTAGAGCTAACCTAGCTGGCTAGCTGTATGCTACATGCTAGCATAAAGGCTCAGCTCAGGATTCTGACTGGAATAATAAATAATAGGAGATGAAGAGCTGTTGATGCTAATGCAGATGTCGTTTTCTGTTTTTTGTAAACACCTGTATGGCCTTTCATACGTTTGAAATAATATAAACAACATCTATCACACTTTTGAATGCCTTTTTTTAAATATACACAGTACTTGTACTTTTACTACTACTAATACTTGTACATTCAATACTTGAGTAGCAATTTTTTTAATACTTCTACTTGCAATACTTAAGAACAAAAAAAATTTGTACTTCTGTACTTCCACTTAAGTATGGAGTTGAAAGAATACTTCTACTTTTACTCAAGTAATTTTTTTTATATAGTACTTCTACTCCACTCCTCTACTCCATACATCCCTAGTGTTTATCCACCTGCTGTCCTCCGCCATTTTCCCATCTCCTCTCTCCCAAACTCGACCACCTACTCTCCCTCTTGTTGATTTCTCCTCCTGTCTTTTCTTCTCACTACCTAAGCG